TCGGAAAGTATGTAACAGGCAGAAGGAAGCGTTTCCGACCCCATAAAGTATACATATACATACGACTATAGCGTTCTTCCTTGTTATGAATAATCTTATCAGAGGTGATATTGATTCTGTAGATTTGGTAAGCCGCCTAAGTTTCAATGTTCCTGTTAGACTAATGCGAAACTTCCATCCTATCAACTTTCCACGATGTTCATCTAATTTTAGTCAGCATGAGCCCTTTCTCTCTAATAATTTTAACAACCTATATCATTTAATTTGTTCCTCAACTTCTATCCCTGTACTAAAAACTAAAATCGTAGCTCATTTGCTTTAATCTTGTTGATCTATGTTTTGTCCTGTCTTTATTTGTTCTATGTACCTTCCTCGCGAACCGTATTTGCCGGAAATAAAAATGGGCCCGCGCGTAACAAGCACATGCTTGGTGTCGTTTGGGCCACTTGTTTGTACTGCTCTTAGTGCATCAACGTTCAACAATATAATATAAAGGAGGCATTATAAAAACCTCGGCCAAGGTTGCAAGACAATATTTTTGGAGGTATATGTCAAGTAACATTGAAATCAAATCACTATTACCGAAACACCAATACTCGACAAGGTTATAGTAGATACAATTTTGCCTTTACCCAAATCAGACAACGGAAATGAATTTGCAGTCACATTAATATTAGACCTAACTAAATACTTAGTGGCAGACTTGTATTTTGGATATGGGAACTGAATGCAAAAATTGAATTATCATTCAACTATGTAAAAACCTAAAAATTTACCTAAAGGTCATGTCAACAGTGCCCCACTACCAGACAGTAGGAACAGTAAGATGAAGCCACAGAACTTTCAATAAATATATACGTTCATATATATCAGTCGATAAAACTAATGGGGATGTATGGCTTCCATATTTTGTATTTAGTTTTAGCGCAACACTTTCCATGACGCTCAATTACTGCCCATAAGAACTAGTATTTGGAAGACAAAATACCCATTCGTTGTGCCCTGTAAGCAACGATCCGAAAGGTCTAATGGCTCTAGCCCCAGGTAAATTCTTAGCTGGGGATGCTCTCTCGCTCTGCCAACAGAGCAAGCCGATGAACTATGTGCGAGATGTGAGAGATGGAGGAACTACCAGCACTTGGTACACCAATGAAGCACTTTGGGGTTGCCTACCGCACAAATTCATAAATAGCATAGATTTTTATCCAAGCCCTTTTGCCTGTAGGAGTTAAATCCCGTTTTTATAGGTCCTTCTATAATAGTTTTTAAAATATGTCCTTAACTTGCTCAAAAGGAATCGTATTTCGAAATGGCATACCTTAAAGGGTTTTTAGAATGATTATTTGGCGATCTTCATTAAATTATTCAATTTAAGTAGTATTAAAAATTATGACCGTTCTTATGTCATGCCTGTTAATTTTCCGAAGGTTGTTCGAAAACGGGCCTCCATCCGAGCTTTCATGGTCCATTATATGGTCTTTAAAAGGGCTGTGAAATGATTTTGTCCCGACTAGTGTCAACGTGCTGTGAAGGACTTGTAAGCAGCACTTTGAATTTTTATACCCGTTGTTCTTAGACTAAAAGGGTATACTAGATTCGTCGGAAAGTATGTAACAGGTAGAAGGCAGTGTTTCCGATCCCGTAAAGTATATATATGTTCCTGATCAGGATCACTAGCCGAGTTGATCTAGCTATGTCCGTCTCTCCGTCAGTCCGTATAAACGCTGTGATCTTTGAAATTATAAAAGCTGCAAATTTGCTTCCTCGCGCAAGCTTTCTTCCTCATAGTGGCGCCCACAATTTTCGTGCTACAAAAATTGTAACTGAAATGTAGTAGTCTCGTCAATACCTATCGGTTGACTCAAAAAGATTGCCACTCCCACTATAACGCCCATAACGCTTAAATCTATCTGCCGCGCATGTATTGAGATCGCGGGTAGGTGACGCATTACAATCTCGCTTTGTAGCTTGCATTTCTCCAGCTCCCTTTGGTCCCTTTAGCGGAGTAACGGGTATCTGATAGTCGGTGTACTCGACTAAAGCATTCTTCCTGGTTTTTATTTATGATTTTTTCAGCTTGTGTTTCAATAGTGCTGTTTTTATTTTCAGAGACTTTCACTGCCTTGTATTTAGGTATAAGCTATTTTTAATGGTTAGCCATTTTTGAATAGTTACGGACAAACTTTCTGTTATTCCTCGTTAGGCGTAGAAAACTTCGAAGTTCTCTAATATTTCGTGAAATTGGATATTTTATAATTGGTTCAATTTTTCCTGGATCCGTTTTAATTACAATATGAGAAACAATTGTGAGGAGTTGAATAACTCCCCACAAATAGGAGCAGATGGCCGGCCGCTTACCAGATACGCGGCGAATTCGCGTAGTAACGGCGCGGCGAGACTTGGATGGAGAACGAGAGAGTTTGGAGACCATGGATGGAGAGCGAGAGAGTTTGGAGACCAAGGATGGAGATCGAGAGAGTTTGGAGACAGTGGATCGGCACACAGGCGTGCCACAAGCATCACGGGAATCAGCGGGATGGCAGCAGTGGGCGGAGCATCGATTGGAAGCGGTACGTGAAGGACAACCAGGAGTCACGGACTTTGGACCCGGAGTGGAGAGATCCAGCGGGCCGTGCGCAAAAGGGAAACAACGGTTCCCGGAGGCCCTAGATAAGGCCGCAGAGCGCCGGCAGCTGGATCAGTCGATCACGAGGAACCAAACCTTCAAGATCAGTTAAAGTACCAAGTGAACAGTCAGTCAAGCAAGTAATCTACGAGGGAGCCACAACCAAGCGAGTCGTCGGAAGCATCGCCGTGGGAAGCACACAAGGAGCAAGATCGCCACGTCGAGACGTTCGGGATTGGGACATCAGGAATCTCCGAATTGAGACACATTGGCTGAGTTCCGGAAGGCATCACGCGGCTAAGTCAAGGCGTTTGTTTTTCAACTTTGTCACGACCACACCCTGGCGAGTCGCCCGGCGGGTCTGTCATAGACAAGCAAAAGAGTCCTACGACGAAGAACCGTCAGCTTGGTTGTCTGTTGTCTGCGACCCAGCGTACCTTGCCCGACCAAGCAGGACCTGGCGTGACGGACGAGCGGTAGATCGATTTGCGGTTTCAAGAGGCGGCCGCCTGGAGTGCCCTGCGATTACCAGCGAAGTTCCCGAACAGCAACCGGCCAACTCCCCGTGTGCCAGAACGACAAGCCACTGGTCTGGAGACAGCGCAGAGGACATCGACAGCGACGCCAGCAGACATTTCCGGCAGCCACGTTACCATCGCCGCGCGGAGCTCATTGGGGAGCGCAGGAGCGTCGCGGACGTCACGAACTAGGGTGCACCCAGAAAAATTGAGAACGGAAAAAACCGAGATCGGTTCTTCTCGGTTTTAGTATTGTGTCTTCTCACATTTTTCTTCTCGGTTTCATGACGGAAGCGATGTCGATTTTAGTATTCCGAACTAAAATCAATCTCGGTTCTGTGGTTGTTGACAAGGGACGTGAGGGGAAGGCGTAAAATGAGAGTGACAGGAGAGGAGAGGAGAGAGACCAAACTCCGCTCTAGAAGTTACCGTTATCGAAGTAATCGAAATAAGCGGCGCCTATATGGCTGCAATTTCACTTCTTTGTATATGTTGAAACTGTGCGGCTTAACAGTGTAATGAGTGACAACGAAGACGTAACGTAAACTAATAATTATTAGCTTATAAGCTAATGTGTGAAATAATTAAGTAAATGGGATGCTTTTAACAAACACAGATTTCTATCAACATATGTATATATGTTAACATAACTACATATGCAAGCAGCGCAGTTTTCGCTGCAACTATGTTAACAATAACTCCTTAATTAAAATATAAACAAAAAAAAGTAAGGATGCCATGTTTTGTATTTCAGATATCTTAACAATATTACAAATTAATATAACAACTTTTTCCCTTGGTTGAATTAGAAATTAGAAAAAAATTAAAAACTTAATGCATTTTGTTCCACAAAAGTGATGATACATTTAAGAGTAATCGCGCTCGTATTGGTTCTGTTTTGACGATTTAGATATTTTAAGTTAAATTTTTCTCTTTAAAATAATCTTACAGTCTTAAATGCCAAACGCAGTTCCAGTTAAAGAAATAGTAGCGACAGAATTTGTATATGAAAGCACCAATAATGTGCTAAAACAGGTAATCTCATCTTACTCAAATTAACTTTTTCCGAAAACAAATTATGTAATATTAGTAAAAAAAAAATTTCATATATTTCATAGAGCTTGCGTTCCTTAGTGCAATCGTCAGAACTAGGCCGCGATTTACTCAACAATAAAGTGTTGACGGAAACGCAAAGGAATTTTTTAATAAATATAATCACAGAAGAGACTTTCCGCAACAACATTGTTGTTCAAACCACAGATTTTTCAAAGATGTTGGACGAGATTATAAGCATTTTTCCTTCCGAGGCGCAAAGCCGGGTAATACTTAAACCACAATCAAAAACCATTTTAATTTTATTTTTAAACATTCTGTTTTATCTTAAGGACTATTTTTTTATTCCTCGAGGAAATAAACATAGTTACCCCAGTTGAAAATTACATTCTAAGTATAAGAACAGACGTCGCAAAGTTTTATCTAGCAAAGATGATGAAAATATTCCACACGATTTTGAAGACGAGGACAAGTGACTATCACTGTCATTAAAATTGCATTGTCTGTAGACTCTTGGAAAAAACATGTAAAATTCGCCAAGAAGATGTAAAGTCGCTAAGCAATTTAGAATTCAAGCAGGACTGGCCAAAATTAGGTCAGTCCTAAGTTTCTTCTTTGGTAATATTACATACATACGTTTATTTGATTGTCTGTGTAGTGAGGTTTCTTAGTGGTGATTGTCCCCTTGAATTCTTTTGTATTGTTGCTTTACGGTTTCTCTTTTTAAAATGATAAGAGTGATTTATGTATTGTATAATTTTGCATAGATCGAGGTCGACTCGAAAAGCTTTAAGGACAAAATTATGATATATTTCAAACGGCACATCCACAACGAAGACTGCAAGCGACAACTACTTGATGTAGAACGCGCTAACGTTGGTAAGTTTTCTGCTTAAGTAAAAAATGTTGTCATAACTACATAATTATTATTTTTACAGATGCCCAGGATTACTTGACCCTTATTTTGCTTAATGCCGTCTTTCCGCCGACATCTCGGATCTTGAAACAAAACGGGAAAAGGAACCAAAAACCGACAATGGCGGATGCTCAACTTTCGATAGTACTACGACTTTCAAGCTTGAATGACTATGAACGTCGTATCAACAATATAGTCAGGGAAAAGTATTTAGAGGGATCAACAATACAGCCATTTATAATTATTCACACATCGTCTGAGCGAAAGCCATTGAAAAGTATGGATCTTTAAGATATTTGAGGTGCATGAGGTTTGAGGCGAAACACAAGGATTCCAAGATTTATTTTCACAATGTAAATTCAAGAATTAATCCTCCCCATACTTTAGCCATTAAATGTCAAATTAAGTTTGCAAAGTTTCTGACGGACCATGCCAAATCTATTGAGCCGTATTTAAGACTTACATCAAAAGAGCAAAATATTTTGAATAATAATCTTGCATTAGAAATAAATAAAAACCACGGGAGTGTAAATAACTTTAAATTTTATAACCAATTAGAATATAAGGGCACTACTTATAAAATTAATTCTTTTTTAGGTTTAGATAAGAATAACTTTATGTTATTTAAAATTAAGCAATTTTTAATTCACAAAATAAATGTAAGTGAAGTTTATGTTAATTGTGAAAAAATTGAAGTAGAATACAATTGTCATTTAAGATCATTCATTGTAAAAAATCCATTAAGAAACTACATTTTTAATTTGGCAGACTTTGTAACGCCCCCCTTCATGTATATACCCTTAATAATGACATTAAAGTCGTAAGGCTAAAATATATATAAATATAAAAAATTTCGCATTTTTATTGAGAATGGGTTCTGGAAGCGAGATCGATGCGATGTTGAAACCGAGAACGGTTCTCGACATCGAGATCGAAGCGATGCTGAAACTGAGAACGATTCATACCGAAATCGAGATCGATGCGATGCAGAAACTGAGAACGATTCATACCGAAATCGAGATCGACGTGATGCTGAAACTGAGAACGATTCAAACCGAAATCAAGATCGATGCAATGATGAAACCGAGAACGGTTATTCTCGAAATCGAAATCTATTCGATGTTGAAACCGAGAACGGTTATTCTCGAAATCGAGATCGATTCGATGTTGAAAACGAGAACGACTCATACTGAAATCAAGATCGACCATTCTCAAAGGCCCGTTCTCAAACCGAGAAGACTTCGATGACGATTTTAGTATTTTTAGTATGAGTCGTTCTTGACTCACTTTTGAGATCGAAAATACTGAAATCGAGAACGCTGAGAACGGTTTTTTCCCTGAGTGTGAAGCCGGGTGGAACGTTCGTCTGCGCTAGGCGTAAATCAATGTGAACTGCTCGGCAGCTTCCTGGCGGCAGCCTTGACTGTCAGCGCGATCTGAGCAAGAACCTTGCGGGACCGTCCGCGACAGAGCAAGGGTCAGGTATTGCCTCGAAAGGCGTCGGCCTGGAGAGCAAGGCGTCTTCACCCTAGTCTGAGAACGGTGACGCTTCTCTAAGCCCACAAAACCGAACTCTCTGCGAGTCTAAGGCGCAACAAGCGACCCCGAGGCGAGCGTCCCGAAACCCAGGAGCCTGCGGAAGCCGAGTCAACGCGTCGAGGAGCCAGAAAGAGGAGCGCCAGCAGCCGGCGGAACCAGAGCCAGGAGATACCGAAGCCAGCCCAGCCACACACCCGTTGTACTAATACCACGAGAATAAATCCCACTCTTACCATTTGAACCCTTTGTTTTCTCACTGATCTACAGGGCAGTCACGTCATATAAATTTGGTGGGACGAACACACAATCTTCTGAGCTAGCCGCACGAATCTCGTAGCGAGCAGACACAAAATCAGTTCGTTACATCTGGCGCTCAACGTGATTGTCCCAACAGTGAGAACAGCACAATAAAAATGGGAAAGAAGTGGATTTACCGCCTCAAGAAGGAGGACTTCGCTTAATGGCGCCCTGGAGGGCAGGCTAGAAGACATGAGGAAGGCACTATCGGAATACTACTCAGAAGCAGAGAACGAACCACAACTCGTCGACATCTGGGCCGAGCTGGAGGCGACATACCACGACAACATTGACAACATTGACAACATGCAAAAAGAGGCCCACAGGAGCGAATCAAGCCAATATAAGAAAACAGCGGCGCTGACCCCGAGACCAAGCCAGTCGGACTATGCAAAGGTCGCTAAACAGGTCTGCGAATGGTCGTTCAGATTCGACGGGGCGGAAAACCCATTTGACTTCCTGGATCAGGTAAAATGGTCGGCCAACACGTACGGCTTGGACCTTGATATGATCCCTCGAGCGATGCCGGAGTTGCTTAAAGGAAGCGCTATGAAATGGTTCATCGCCAACAACAAGCAATGGAGAACATGGGCAGAGTTCATAGAAAGCTTCCACACCTATTTTCTGCCAAGAGATTTCTTCACCAGGCTAGCGGATCAGGTCCGGCAACGGAAGCAAGGCTTCATCGAGTCGTTCAAGAACTACATGATCGACATGCAGACGATGGTGAGGCCACTTAACTACTCTACGAAAGAGACATTAAGGGTCATTAAAGAGAACTGAACCCCAAGCCTACGGATTTTCTTAAGAGCATACAATGTGTCGGACGTGAATACGCTAATGATCCTAGCCGATGAGTACGAAGAACTTGAAAAGGAACGGGAAGTTTTCGCACAGAAGAACAAGTTCTCAAAGACCAACTCGGAGTAACCAACGCAGGTAACATGCAGAAGATGCGAGGAGAGAGATAACCAGGACACACGAGTAAATGACCAATGGTCCCCACCACTCCAAGCCAGACGACAGCAGGCAACAGACGCACCACGCGGATGCCAACGGACACCACCCTCACAGCAACAGAGACAGCCAAACAATACCTTGTGGAGGCCGCCAAGCAACACACAGAGGCCACAAGATGCCACCCATATCACAGACCCGCAGGAGGCCTGTCGGAAATGCGGTGGGAACGGACACTGGGCTAGAGGATGTCGAAACCAGCGGCTGGTATTTTGCTGGATTTGCGGCAAGGTGGGTGTCAGGAGCGTCGATTGCTGCCAACGATCGGGAAATGGCCAGCGATCTCAGCCGCAGAGAGGCGAGCGGGGATCGCACAATGCCACCTCTCCAAACTAAAGGGCAAGCTAATCGAGGAGGAGCAGCAGTTGTCCGCAGCTGTGATGATTGGTGGGAACAGCTACAAAGCCACAATCGACACCGGAGCAACGGCAAGCTTCCTTAGCAAAGATATGGCGGACAATATTGCTGATCTAGGAAGGATTACAAGGACGAGACGGCAAGTTAGGTTGGGAGACGGAAGCTGCTGCGGAATTAATGCGCAGCTCGAGGTGGAGGTCAAATTAGGTAACAAACAAGTGACCATGAGCTTGTTGATTTTACCCGGAGTAGTGGATCCATTAGTGTTGGGATGGAACTTCCTGAAACAAGTCGGAACCGAGATAAGGTGTGCTGGACACGAGATAAGAATACCAGCCAGGAACCGACACAGTGGGTGGCTCGAGGAGAAGCTATCAGTAGCAGTCGAGTTGGACGATATTACAGCGTTCCTTGAAGCAGAGCTGGCAGCCTTCAGCACAATGACGGGAACATCGAATATGGCAGAACATCCGATCAAAATGAAGGATGACAAGCCAATCAAGCAGAGATACTACCCCAAGAGCCCGAAAATCCAAAGGGAAATCAACGCAAGGGTGGACGAGCTGCTCCAAATGGGGTTCATAGAGCATTCAAAGAGCCCATACAGCTCCCCAATCGTGATGGTGAAAAAGAAGACAGGCAAGTGGAGACTGTGTGTCGACTTCAGGCAGATCAACGTGAAGTCAGTTAAGGACGCCTACCCAATGCCTCGCATAAACTACATCCTGGACCAACTAAGGGAAGCGCGGTACATCAGCAGCTTGGACCTGAAGGATGGATACTGGCAAATCCCTCTGGAAGAGAGTAGCAGGCAGTATACGGCGTTCACGGTACCAGGCAAAGGTCTGTTTCAGTGGAGGGTAATGCCGTTCGGACTTCACTCGGCGTCGACAACGTTTCAGCGAGTTTTGGACCAAGTAATTGGCCCCGAGATGTCACCTCACGCATTCGCTTACCAGGATGACATAATAGTGATCGGTTGGAAGAACACAAACGAAACCTTAGAGAAGGGTTCCGGCGACTAAAGGAGGCGAACCTGAGGCTGAATCCAGAAAAGTGCCAATTTTGTTAGAAGGAACTGCTGTACCTGTGACATTGAGTGACTAGCGAGGGAATAGGAACAGATCCAGAAAAGGCAGCCGCCATCTCTGAACTGGAACCGCCATCGACCGTCAAAGAGCTCCGGCAATACCTAGGAGTAGCGTAGTGGTACCGCCGATTTGTACCAGATTTTTCCAGAATCGTCAAACCCCTGAATGACCTGCTGCGCAAAGGCAGTAAGTGGGAGTGGACACCGGAGCACCAGATGGCGTTTGAGGAAGTAAAGGCAAGACTCGTGGCAGATCCGGTGCTAGCATGCCCGGATTTCAGAAGAACTGACGCCAGCGACTACGGAATCGGAGCAATACTGACCCAGGACACCGAAAAGGGCGAAAGAGTAATCTCCTACTCGAGCCGAACACTGAACGGCGCGGAAAAGAACTATTCAACAACGGATAAAGGAGTGCTTTGCGATCGTCTGGGCGATCCGGAAGCTCAGGCCACATCTGGAAGGTTACCACCACAAGTAACCGACCACATGGCCCTGAAATGGCTCAACAGCATCGAAAGCCCTTCAGGAAGGATCGCCAGATGGGCCCTGGAGCTACAACAGTACGACTTTGAGATAGCATACAGAAAGGGTCAGCTAAACGTGGTGGCCGACGCATTATCAAGACAACCACTACCAGAGACGCTACGAGGACTAAAAGAGGCATCGGCAACAATAACTTCAGGAGGGTGCAGCTGGATCAAGGACATCGGCGACAATATAAGGACCCAACCACAGAAGTACCCGGACTATGTTATGGATGGTGAGACACTGTACAGAAACATACCTCACCGAGCAGGCAGTGAAGACGTCGCGTCATGGAAGATGTGCGTCCCAAAGTCGCTACGAGAAACAGTGTTGACGGAAAACCACGACGCACCGTCTGCGGGACACGTAGGAAGCTTGAGGACAATTGCACGGCTGGCAGCCCGATACTACTGGCCAGGCATGCAAGTTATCCCGCTCATGATCCCAGCCTCTTTACCCAATT